GGCCGCCAGGCAAGAGGTCAGCCCCCAGCCACGGCCCACGTCCGCAACGCGCCCGCCCTTGCTTGCCGCGCCTGGTCCTTGTCTGGCGGGCTCCCTGCGGCCGTGGGCCGTGGCTGGGGGCTGACCTCTTGCCTGGCGGCCCCTCCCCACCCAACAGGACAACGGCACCGAGCACCCGCACCGCGTGTGCATCAGCTCTCGCGCCGACGTGACCCCGGCAGTCACGGCGGCCGTCCAGGAGCGAGTGGCGGCGGCGGGCCTGCAGGTGGGCTGGGGGGGCGGGCAGCCAGGCATGGTGCGCGGCCGCAACTGCGCAGGGCAGCAGCCAGGCTGCCGTCCACTTGCGCCTGCCTGGCGCCCGCCTGCCTTCCGCCTGCCCTCCCAACGCCCTGCGCGCCCCGCCTCCCCGCAGGTCAAGGTGATTGTGAGCGGTACCGGCGACTGGCGGTACGTCGACGTCACCTCTGCCCGCGCCGGCAAGCTGGCGGCGCTCGAGTATGTGCGCCAGCTGTACGGCGTGCACCGCAACCGCTGCGTGGCGGCAGGCGACTCGGGCAACGACACGCTCATGCTGGGGGGCCGCAACCTGGCCATCGGTGGGTGCCTGGTGGCGCGGCGGCTGGGAGGTGTTTGCCTACGAGCAGTGGGTGGCTGGCAGCGCCGCAGGCGGCGCGAGCAGGCAGGAGGGGTGCGGCCTGGCCGTTGCCGGGCAGCACCGCCTGCACCTGGCCTGCTGCCGAGCGCTCACCCTCATCATCCCGCCTGCCTGCCCGCCCGCCTGCTTGCCCGCAGTGGTGGGCAATGCGCAGCCCGAGCTGGTGCAGTGGGTGCTGGAGCAGCCGCAGGAGGAGCGGCTGGTAGTGACGGATGCGCCCATGGCGCGAGGCATCCTGGAGGGCCTGGCCCGCCACGGCCTGTACTGAGGCGTGCAGGAGGCAGGGCATGGACCCGCCCCCCACCCCACCGCCTGCTGCCGCCCCGCATGTGTCTGTCCCAGTCTGTCCCAGTCTGTCCCCTGTAGCTGCCAGCAAGATGAGCGTCCCGGCGTCTGTTCCCGCATCCCGCCATTTGTACCAAGGCCCCCGAGCGCTGTGGGGCACGCTGCGCCCCAGCCACCAAGCACATTCCCTTCTTTTCCTCCCGCCAAACTCGCCTTCGGGCCTTCCGTTCGAAGCTATATCTTGAACGCACCGTCTGTACCAGCCTCGCACTGCTTTTGTTGGCGCCCCCTTCTGTGCACTGCGGCGTCGCACTGGTGACTTTCTTCCCCCCCATATTCGAGTGTTTAATTCCAGCCTGACGCGCATCCCATCTCATCTGCCCCCTGTTGTTGACGACCTTCCGCTAGAGCACTCCCCGCACTGTCCCGCCCTGCCCTGCGGCTAGCGTCCTCTGTCCGCCTTGTAACAACTTGCGTTCGCACGGCACTGTGGGGCGGGCGATGACACGCAGGCAGCGCAGGCTGAAGCTGACCCCTCAACAGTGGTGGGGCTGGTCCACCTGGCTGAGGCTGGGCATCATGCATCATGACATGCAGCAGCTGTCCCTGCCTGCAGCCGCTGCACACAATCCGCAGCTGCCCGCCGTCACTTGGCCTTCAGGTTCTCCTCGAAGAAGGCCAGCACCCGCTCCCAGGCCAGGGCCTGCGCCTCGCTGGGCGGCTCCGGGAACCCCATGTACGCCCGCTTGGCCACGCCCTGCGGGAGGCAGGGCGGGGGGGGCACGCAGGCGGGGGGCGGGTGGACGCCTCGCAGGCACATGGCGTGGATGATGACTGGAATTGGGCAAATTTTGGGGGCGGCAAGGATGAAGACCGGGTGTAGCACATCAGCAATCGCGCACGGCGGCGGCGCCTCGCCGCCTGCTGCCCACTCGCCTCGTCTCCGCGGTTCAGGAAGCCGTGCCCCGCCTGGGCATACATGAACAGCGCGGCGGCGCCGCCCGCCGCGTTCACCTTGTCGGCAAACGCCTTGGCGGTCTGGAGGGCCACAAGGAGGGCAGCGGGGCATGCGCAGCGTCAATGGCGTGGCGTCCCCCGTGCACCGCCATCATGCCAGCTCACCTACTTAAAACCAGGCTCCCTAGAAACTACTTAACCAAACTCTACTTAACCAAATCCTACTTGCCTCTTGGTCGGAGAAGCCCTTGAAGTCGTCCAGCTCCCCAAAGTGCATCTGCACCGGCACCTTGACGTTTTCCGGCTGGCACAGCTCCGGCTGCAGCGCAACGCCAGCGGGCCGGGTAGTGAGTGGGCTGCGCGCGGGCAGGCATGGGAGAGCGGCGGCCATGCCGTACTCTGCACAGCCTGGGGGAGCCAGGTGCCGGGCTGCAGCCTCACCGAGGGCGTGCCGTAGCAGGGTGCCGTGCAGTCGACGCCCGCGTGCTGGGCTGCGGCCAGGGCCAGCGCGCCGCCCATGCAGAAGCCAATGCAGCCAACCTGCGGCAGATAGGACTGGTAAGCAGCAGGAAGGCAGGCAAGCAAGTAGGCAGGCAAGCAAGGAAACGATGCCTGGCCCACATGAATGGCCGGCGCCGGCGCCTCGCCTTGCTGGCTCCATCGTCCCGCAGATACTGCACCGCCGCCTTCATCTCCTCCACCGCCGTCGCCCAGTCCAGGCTGTTCATCAGGTGGCTGGCCTCCTCCTTGTCCACCCCCACCTTGCCCTTGTAGAGGTCGGGGATCAGGCACCTGCGCATCACCCGCCATCGCCACACAGCACCACCGGGGGTGTGCGTGCGTTTTTGTTGTTGTTTTATTGTTGTTTTTGACCGGCGGAGGTTTAGGCCCAGAGCTGTCATGGCGAGAGAGGCAGCAGCTCAGAGTGGGGAAGCACTGCCGCTGCTGCAGCTTGGCTGCCAGGTTGCGCCGCCTCACCGATAGCCATGCTGACTGATGTTGATGGCGTGGTCAACAACCGTCGGCACCACACCCCACCATTCGTGCACCAAGCAGAGCGGGGGCAGGAGGGGAGGGGGGCGGGGACATCAGCACAACAGAAAGCAAGGGAGCAAGGACAGAGCAGGGGTCGGGGCCGCAAATGCACAACATATCTGGAGGACCACCACGGCAGGGTCCTTGACGCTGCCGCAAACGTAGCCGGGGATGCCTTTGCCAAAGGTGATCTTCTCCATGCCTGTTATGGTGGCCATGGCCCTCACTGTGTGCAAGCATACAGGGAGCAGGCAAGGGGCATTCGTGGGCCGAGTAAAGAGAGGCGCATCCGGTGGCGCAGGCGGTGCAGGCGGCAGGCGGCGGCGCACAGAGCAAAGCAAAGGGCCGCCCGATCGGCGTTTATCTTTCGCTCAGACAGCCTGAAGGGCATCCAGCGAATCACTGCCGCACAAACCCGGTGCAGATGTCCTGAATGTCCTGAACCCTCTTGCCAGCCCGGGAGTGTGAATCACCCTCCTGAGTCCGGGCAGCATGGAGATGAAGCCAACCTGCCGATTGGGTAGGTGTGGACGTGTTTCTTCTCCACTGCAACGGCCAGGTCATCATTCTTCAAGCTGGCACAAACGCCGAAATTGTGTCATCTTAACGTTCACCCACAGGAGATCCAGACGTGTTGTCGAGCAGCCATCGAGCAGGTAGGGTGGCAGCGATTTGGCAGAGCTGTCCCGCCCGGGAGGGCCAGGGGCTTCCCCGTTTCTGAACAACCGGGCATTCATGGCTGGTCAGCACTGGTAGAGGGGCCTGAACTGGTGGAGGGGTACCTCTTACAGCCCGCCATTTTCCGTGACTGCGTCATGCATGGGCGCGGTTCCGTGCAGCTATCGGGGGTTTGCCGCAGTATGGGGTTCGGGACGCTGTGGCATGCGATGCGCTGCTATCACCTCACGACGCTGTAGCGGCGGGTGCTGCGGCGGCACAGGAGGGCGCCGTCTTGTGGAAGACGCCAGTCACCACGTTGCTGCCTCCCTGTGCTGCAGGACCGCTGACCATCGCCTGTACACCCGCCCCGCCCGCCGGTCAGCATGCCGCGCGCCGCGGTACGGGAGGAGACGGTCAAGCTGGAGGCGGATGTGGCGGCGCCCACCGAGGCGCACCTCGACGATGAGGCGCGCCTGAGGCAGCTGGGCTACAAGCAGGAGCTGGTGAGGAGCTGTGCATGGGTGTATCATTGCGCGTGGCAAGGGTGTTGACATCAGCTCCGTTCGTCGCGGGGGCATGCGCCACCCACGCGCTCACGCGTCGCCCCCGCCTCTGCCCGGTGCAGCGGCGGGAGCTCAACCTGCTGCGCAACTTTGCGGTGTCGTTCGGGCTGCTCTCCATGTTGACTGGACTGGGCGGGTTCTACTACATCGGATTCACCTGTGAGTGGCCTGCGGGCGGCTCCGCTCACGCCTGCCTGCCTGCCTGCCTGCCTCCCCCACCCACACGCATCCCCCGAGCACGGCCGTGCGCTCGCGCTTGCAGATGGCGGCCCTGTGGTGGTGATCTGGGGCTGGATCCTCATCGTGACGATGACGCTGACCATCGCCCTCAGCAGTGCGCACCGGGCTGTGCACGCCCGCCTTTGCATGCCTGCCGCGTGCAGCAGCTGCATGCAGCATGGCAGCTATCCCCGTGCACCCGGCCGGCCTGCGTCAGGTCCGGGCATGATGCCTAGCGTCACCTTATCGTGCGCCCGCCCTGCCTGCAGTGGCCGAGATCTGCTCTACCCTTCCCTCCACCGGCGGCGTGTACTACTGGTGCGGGCGCTGGCCAGCCGCTTGCCTGCCTCTGAGGCGCTGCTGATGCGGGGCTGCTTGCGAGGGCTCTGTCATCGGCCGTGCATCGCATGCTGCTCGGCACCGCCGTGCCCCACCCGCCCCGCTCCTCCACACCCTGGCAGGGCGGGTGTCCTGGGCGGCAAGCAGGGCCCTCTGTGGTCGTGGATGAATGGGTGGTTCAACCTGCTGGGCCAGGTGCGCCCGCGCGCTGCTGGATTGCGCGGCAAAGGAGGGCGGGAGGGGGCTCAGCCGCCATGTCTTGCTGGTGCTGGCGCAGGTGGGCATCACGGCGGGCGTGGAGTGGACCGTGGTCAACTACCTCACCCAGCTCATCAACATCTTCCGCGGCCCCGAGGAGGAGCCCTTTTCCTTCACAAAAGTCCAGTTCTGGCTCGTGTACTCGGGTGCGCACTGGCCGCCAGCCGCGCTTCCCCTCCCAAGCCCAATACAACATGCTACCCAGCATGGCGGGCACGCACGTCACACACACACACACACACACACACACACACCGTCTCTCTCACACACGCACG